GGATACCATGGGGTGGGGGGGGGAGGGGGGATGTGGCAGCCCTGCATCATACATGCATACTTGCGTGCATGCATACATTCACGCATGCAACTAGGTGGGTAGGTATGAAAGTAGGTGGGCAGGTAGGTGGATAGCTAGGCAGCCAGCTAGGTCGGTCGGTAGGTAGGTAGGCAGGTAGGTGCATGCTCAGGTGTGTGTGTGTGTGTGCGCATGTAAACATACATGTGTGAACAGAAAAATCAGGCAGTACGTGCAGACATCCATACATGCTTGCATATGCACGGGCATGAGATACTGGATGTTACAAGCGAGTACGCACGAGAGAACCGCTACCTGCTCGGGGTTTCAGGAGTACCGCTTCCTGCCACTTGCCTGAAGCTCTACTTGCATTTGGACTTGAGGCACCCCTAAACCCTAAAGCTTCACCCTAAACCCTGCAAAATCCTAGATTCGTGAGCCTGCGGCTTTTCGACCCCGCGAGCTGACTGCTCTGCGCTTGACACCCCACTCTGCCAACAGAATCGGTTTAGGGTTTAGGATTCGGGTTTTAGGGTGTAGGGTTTAGAGTTCAGGGTTTGGGGACAAATCTCGCAAAACCCGACAGACCTTACCTGACAAAAGATCCGGTATCAAAGCACATGAAACTCGATCCGTGATCACAACATCCTTGAGCAACAGCATTGAGCCCAACCTTACGCATATCAATCTTTTGCAGTGGCAGCTCTTGCAGTAGCACTGTCCATACGTCGTACGACATATTGACACAGGAAGGGAAGCCAGCTACAGTCCTAGTCAGAACAACTGGGGACAACCAGCTTCCTGTGCTCACTCATGCATGTCAACTTACTTGGCTTCTCTTTGCTGCACTACAGGTTCAGGGTGGTCTTCTTTGTAGGCGGGGCGGGAAGGGAAATGAGGCCAACCATATGACCAGGAAAGGCTATAGATGATAGCCCTCTGCCGTGAGCCCTAGAAAGCACGGTCTCAGGCTTCCGTTCTTCCCGCTCTTCTCGCTGCTCGCAGGCGGGGATGCACCGGACCAGGGTTGCGAACACAACAGAAGACCAGCATGCGACTAGGGCTTACGGCTTCGAGTGTAGGATGTGGGGCAAGACACTGTCGCGATTGGAATGATAAGCAATGTACTGGCGGCGGCTTCAGCGACGACCACAACAAGTACTGTGCAAGCATACTTAGGATGATGTTGTTGCAGATATAGAAAGCAGTATCCAGGACTGTAGGCGTAATCACAGCAGGCTGCAGGAACATGGTCGGACTCTCAATAGCAGTAGCACGAGCATCCAGGACTTGTTGTGACCACTAACACCCAGATGGATCTAATATCGGCTGTTCTGACTGCCAAGACCCTAGTAGTTCCACCTTACGAGGCAGAACAGGGGTATGGGCTTCAGGAATACCGAGCACCGTTGAACACGTCCTTCACCCACCACGAAGGTTATGAGCAGATGCTGGGCTCAAGATGCCATACGTCAAAGGGTGCTAATAGCCATAGCCTCTGCGCGCGCCATGTCGGATGGCGCATGCATGGTTGCACCTCGCGGGGATTTGCTGCATGGAGGTGAGGTTTTTCCGAAGGTGGGCAGGAAGGATGCAGATGAAGAGGTAGCACAAGCCTCACAACCGCTTCCAAAGGAACGTGATCCAGTCGTTTCCCAAGAGGCACCATGGCCAGGGGAACAGGACGGGATGGATGACCAGGACAAGAACGAATATATAGCAGGGCACTTGAGCACCATGACCTTGACCTCGCCGACAATTCAAAGGGTGACATCCACCCACAGAGTCTTAAGCTGCTTCGGGCGAGCTCTGCGGCAAAAGAGCCTCAGAGACATGTACCATTTCAGCAGGCCGGCCGTCAGGATTTCCCAATTTGTTTCACACAGTTGGCATGGATCGGCGTGGAAGAAGATCGCTACCCTCTTCGTGCTAAAGAACGGTCCTGCAGCGGTTGCTTCTGGAAGCTTTTCGGCGCTGGTCATGATCGCCCTCAGCAGCTTCAATATATTACCTGGCTATGACCGGCAACCCATGATCGAGCTGGAGCGGGCCTATGTTTTCGGACCCTGGGGGATTTGCTTTGGTATGCTGATTGCACTTTTCTTCTTGACTTTCAATGACCGTCGTGAAGAGGTTTTCCTGGATGTGCTATGCATCCATCAGACTGATCTGCGCTTGAAGTCGGAAGGTCTCCTGAGCATCTGTGCCTTCTTGAAGAATTCCGACTCCATGCTGGTGTTGTGGGATCCCACGTACGTTGAGAGGCTGAGTCTTTCTGAGCCATGTGAACCCAACCCTAAACCCCAGACCCTTGACACTGAAACCTAAACCTAAACCCTTAGCATAACCCTAAACCCTAAACCCTAAGCCCTAAACCCTAAACCCAAAGCCCAAAACCCTAAACCTAAACCCTTACCATAACCTCGATAGGCTTCTCCAAGCCAGCTCCAAAGTCACGCTGCAACAACGACCAGAAGACAAACACATACAGATAATCAGAGCCTTCCAGGACCCTCCAAGTACCCTCAAATAGGGGTATAAGGTCCCAAGTTAGGGTATTTAGGGTCTTTATAGAGGGTAGATGGAGGGTCTAGGTTAGGATTAAACATAAACGACGTTCTACGTCGCCGCCACGAAAGTTTAGATCATATGATGTACGGCTTTGTTAACAAGCACGTATGCTGCGGAGAGGCGGAGAGGACGAGAGTCCTTTTTACGCGTTGGCGGAATTGTCTTGTTCCGGTGGAGAGGTCCTTTTTTAGGACTTTATGCGAGGAGTCTGCAAGGAAAAGCGGCAGCCTGACAAGTTAATACTGTTAAGACAACGCCTGTGGCGAACTTTTGTCCGGAAGCGGCCAGTCCGGGGTTGGCAGTGAGTATATAAGTGTCCCGGTGGGTAATTCCTCCGCCAGCCAGGCTACGTAAAACGCGCGTTTAGCTACGCCGCGTCTTCCGCATGATAAGCAAGTGCACGAACCTTAATCTTGGCGATGCTCTGGGAAGGTGCTTGAAGCGAAAGATGTGTGTGCCCAGACCCCTCATGGGCTGCACCGGCCAACAAAGTGTCGTTGCAAAACACGGACATGATCAAATAATCATCGCCGGAACGAAAAACTGGGTCCCGGTTTCGTCCCGGCCCTGAAGACGAAATTCCGAAGCTTTTGAAGACGAAATTGTTCGCAGGGAGCTGAAGCTCAAACTGGGCGCGAAGACGAAGTTTGAAGACGAAATTCGGCCCTGAAGACAAAATTCGGGTGAAGACGAAATTCGGGTTGGGGCACACTGAAAGCGAAAACCGGTCGTGAACACGAAATTGGTCCCGAAGCCGAAAAGCCGCAGCATTCAAGACAAATGGCAGATGTTTCTAGGCTCCTGAATGCCTGTTTGAATGCCTGTTTGAAGACGAAATTCGGCCCTGAAGACGAAATTTGGCCCTGAAGACGAGATGCGGCCGCGAATAGGAAATTCGGCCGCGAAGACGAAATGCGGCCCTGAAGACGAGCTGCTCCGCCGCCGAATTTTGTCCTGAGGGCCGAATGTCGTCTTCGCTGCCGAATGCCGTCTTCCGGGCCGAATTTCGTCTTCGTGGCCGACTTTCGTCTTCGCGGCCGAATTTGGTCTTCAGGCCGAATTTCGCCTTCAGGGTCGAATTTCGTCTTTGCGGCCGGCGAATGAATTTCGTCTTCAGGGTCGAATGTCGTCTTCAGGGCCGAATTTCGTGTTTCAAACAGGCATTCAGGAGCTTAGAATCGTCTGCCATGTGTGTTGAATGCTGCGGCTTTTCGTCTTCGGAGCCAATTTCGCTTGCACGACAGGGTTTCGTCTTCAGTGTGCCCAAACCGAATTTCGTCTCCAGGGCCGAATTTCGTCTTCAAGTTTCGGTTCCGCGCCCAGTTTGAGCTTCAGCTCCTTGCGAACAATTTCGTCCTCCAAAGCTTCGGAATTTCGTCTTCAGGGCCGGGACGAAACCGGGACCCAGTTTCCCATGACCCTGCACGTATGGGCGAAGAACCGGAGAGCACAAACGTGTATTTTTCGTGGCCGGCTTAGCGGAGTAGTTGATTCCCCGGAATAAAATTACATTGTTGTACTGATCCGGAGAGGCCTTGCAGGACCTTGTGTGAGGAGTCTACAGGGAGAAAAATCCCAGAGTCCCAGAGCCTGACATGTCAAGTTACGAAGCTTGTGGCGGATTCTTGTCTTGCGGTAGAAGCAGGTAGCAACAAATATCGTGAGAAAATCATGCTTGGAAATTTGGACACGCAAGACCAACCTTTCAAATATGACGTCGACAAGAGCACACATGGGTGAACTTTTTGCGCGCCTTCAAACCGTTTCTCCTTCTGGAGGCTTTGGTGCGTCTTCGAGTTGGCTGCCTTCTTGAAAAGCCGCGAAAGTGGGACAGCGACGAAGTTGTTCATTAGACCTACCATCCTCGGCCCCAGTTACATGGTATCCTGCTTGGGTCTCTTTGCGTGGCAGCTGGCTCAGATGGCGGTTCCATGGGAAAACGCGTTTCATGGATTCTTGGTATTCTCGGTGGTGTGCTGGATTGGGTGTCACTCGCTTGCCTGTGTTTGGCGGAGCCACTATAGGCAGATTGACACCATGAAGACCCGACTTCAGACGTTCGCCATTAGCCAGACGAAAGCAAATTGCTGCGAAAGAGGCCATGTGGATGCACAGGGCCGAAAGATTCCTTGTGACAAGGCAGTGCTCACTGAATGCATGCGGCAGTGGTTTGGCTCTATTGATGTGTTCGAGGATGATGTCAGGTCTGGCGTGGCAGCTGCGTTGTCAGAAGGATTGGGGAAGGGATGGTTTCCTTATCCTTACCTGCTTGCTGCCACAGCACCCATCTTATGGGGTCAGGGCGACTTCGTTGCCTCCAGTCTGCGGCAGGGCGAGTTCTACTATGCAGGTGTCACCGCCATCATTGGCCTCGCACACTGGCTCGCCGCAATTCCCTTCCTCTTCGCCTGCGGTGAGCTTATCATCTACAAGTTCCGCCGCAGGTGCGCGGTCCCGAGCCTTGGGCTTGTCCCTCGAAACCCCCAAACCACAACCCCAAAGCTTTAACGCCAAGCCCGAAACCCTAAAATGTTCAAGAGCCTGAAGGTACAGTCCCTGCCTCGATGCAATGGTGCCCCTCCTCGTTTCGGCGTTTCTCAATTCGGTGCCAGGCAGTGGCATATTCGTGATACTGACACTGGGCGAAATTAACAAGATGGTTTGGTTTATTGTGGTCGACGAGAAGTTCATATTGTGGTATGTAGTATATACTAAGATGGCCACGTGTTATTCTTCTAGTGATTCTAGTATGCACTTCATGCTATCAACTCCCGGGTACTTGAGCTGTGTCGGGGTTTTCCGAAGACTTCCCACGAGGTACTTTCAGCAGTAGGAGCTTGATAGCTAAACGGATCACTGTGAAGGCAGATGTCCCCGTTGAAAACATCTTGCGCACAACTTCAAAAAACTGGAAGTAGACTTGTTGAGCAGTGCACATATGTGCGAAATACAGTTCTGCAGACAAGAACTGTAGCATGACATAGCACATCATGCTCCATGACCCTAGACCCGAAACCCTAAACCTTGCTTTAGTGTTTGTAACCACTTAGGCTTGCAGCCTTCGCCAGTGCGGTGTAGCAGGCTTTTGGGGTAATTCTCTAATTAAGGTCCCTTTTAAGGTCCCCTCCCCGAATCTAGTACGGCACCCTTAGAGAAATGACCCCGAAAGGGACCCCAGTGCTTCCATACCATAGTAATACCAGCTGATGCCTCAAACCATAAGTTGCACCCTAAACCCGGGTTTGTGTTTACATGAGAGAGAAATGCTGTAGTCCCCGTGGATATGGGCTCAGCACACCCTGGAGAGAGTTTTGTCTGGGAGATTCCAGGATTGGCCTTCAGACGATGCTGGATGACATGCTGGCCGCAGTTCTTTGGGCCATTATCGTGTCTTCTTTGGCCCTGCTTGCTTGGAGGCTGCGCTAATCCTATCCCAGGTAAGACCCAGTATTTTGGATCCAAGTTGAAAGAAATTTGTGAGAGCTCGGAGAGCCTTGCACCCGATTTCCTCAATCGTTTCAAAGAAGGTTCTGCTGCAAGTGTCTTTTTCCCAGAACCTGCCACAGCATGAACGAATGGCCAGGTAGAAGAGGCTTGACATGCAACACAGCTCTGCCTCCCTTCCGACCCAGGTCGCTCCTCTAGACGAAAAGAAGGAGTTTGGTCGAGGATTCAAGTGGAGGGATGGCTTGGTATGAGTGTGAATATACGTGACTGAACAATTAGAAGAGGGTTTCGTATTATACTAAACTTACTATAAGGATTTCCCAAAACCGTATGCTAGTTATTGAGGCCCTACATTACGGGAATAATTCTGTGCTGTGAGTCCTTTTGCTATCACACCCTTGGTGGCAGGCTCGCTTCGAGAAGTCGCCCCAACAGAGTGCAGTTGGCTATTTTGGGGGGGATTGTGGTGCTTTGTGGTTTTAGGCTGAGGGTTTACATGTAGGCGTTTAGGGTTCAGGCTTGGGTGTGTAGGGTTTAACCCCGCCGCTTGTAGGGTTCAAGGCACATATTGAGGTCACCGTACCCAGAGAGCCCAAGACCCCGATCCGCCCCAAGTCATATGTGGCAGTCCTCTTTACCCCTGGACTCCATTTCTTAAGCACATGTTTGTAAGCCCCCCAAGTCTTGATCCCTTTCATAAAGCCCTAAACCCTCAACCCCAAA